ACTTTAAGATCCTCTGTCTGACATACAAGTGCCTGCATGGTTTGTCTGAACTCCTACATCCGTATGTCCCCGCACGCAGCTTGCGCTCAAACACACAAAACCGTCTCGTCATCCCATCCTACAAACTGAAATCCTTCGGACACCGATCATTCTCTTACTCCGCGCCTGTGCTCTGGAACTCTCTCCCATATGCCCTTAAAAGCTCTGCCACAATTTACATTTTTAAGTCCAGACTTAAAACCCACCTTTTCTCAGTATATATTATGTTTAACTTCATCTGTAAATACTCCAGTGTAAATATTCTGTAGCGCCTTGAGCATGCCTTAGGGTGTGGAAGGGGCGCATTATAAATATGCATTTATTATTATTATTATTATTACTATTATTATAAAAGGTTGTGTCATTTGTATTTAATTTTAGTCCAAACGTGACAGTGTCCATCCGACTCTCAGTAAAATGTAGTTTATGTTTGGGTCATCATTTTTAGTAGACATAGTTGTATTTTAAAACTAAATAAATCGTAGCCTTTAGTCCTCCGGAAGAACATCGTTGCGTTGTGGATTCATCTCATCAATTCATCAAAGTATGCCATTGCGTGCCATGAGATTTACAGCCCATTTCATAGTTCTTCTGTTTGTTATAAATAGTAAACTATCTGTGATCATATATATATTATTTACATTTTGTATCCACTTTGACAAGCATGCAGCATTATATTAGCAGTTTTGAATATAATGTGTACCTGTCACTCAAAAAAGTAATTAAGATAAGAACAAATCATTCTGAGTCACACGTTATCCTATATTATGTCTTCTCAGATGGAGTGGGAGAACCTTTGATGAGAGGTAAGAACAGAACTCACTTACAAATTACTCTTTGATTTATTTTTTGTTTAATGACGAGCACAGCACTATTAAGGCTATGTGGCGGCACTTTGTGAATAATCGAGTCGATCTACGATATTGTGATACGATTGCAAGTGTCAACCAAGTCAGTGAGACTGACCACCTGATCCTGTTGGTCGTTTCATGACAAGCATGGTTTGTTTAAGACCGATTCTAACCCGGATTTAAACGATTTCCTCACCTCACTCCCAAACGTTTAAGGTGTAAGAAAACTTGTTTCGTACCTATATGTATCTACGAACGAAGAGTGCGTATTTTGTGGTAAATTATTTATTCCACATGTCTTCACTTCCGTTGTTGTCAGTAGCGTAAGTTTTAATACTGAAATTAAAGCGGGTATGAAGCGTTCTTGGAGACAAACTTATGAGTTCAAAGCGGCAAGTTCACTAGAAAGTGGTAATGATGTAGACACAGTGTTAATTTAAAGATAATGTTGTTTAAACGCACTTTTGATGCCGTCTTAAATCCAGTTGGTTGGGGTCAAAAACTGAAATTTACGAAGTCATTGTTCGAGAGTTTGAAAAATATTCCTTTTTCAGTTGGCAATCCCGTTAGTTATGTAATGTCGTCATAGAACGGTGGGTAACGTTCGGCGGAAAAGCAAACCGGTTTGGTGAAATATACTAGCCACATAAAGAAACTGTGCATTGTCAAAATATTATCCCAGTTGATAAGTACGATAACAATGTCAAAGGTACATATAAACTTTAATGGAGGGATCATGAGACCATAACAACTCGGGAGAATTTCAATTGAAAAGTCAATCACAATAACGTCACGAGTCCACAAGCGGGATAGGGGTCAAACGACCATGTCACAAGCTCAACAACGGGTATGTCCACCATCGGCATTGAGAACAGCAGTGCATCGACGACGCATAAGGCCTATCAAACGTGCAAGGAAGGCTTGTGGGATGTCACGCCAGATTCTCTCAAGTTCTGTTGTAAGGTCAAGGACGTTATCTGGCGGATGAGGAAGACGGCGTCGATCCATCTCGTCCCAAACATGCTCTATCGGGGATAGATCCGGTGAATTTGCAGGCCAAGGCAGTAAGTCAACGTTGTGGTGTTGCAAGAAATCCTCAGCAACCCTTGCCGTATGAGGGCGGGCATTGTCCTGTTGGAATGTTAACCCACGGCCATGACGTTGCAGAAAAGGAATCGCCACAGGCCGAAGAATCTGATCCCTGTAGCCCACCCAGTTAAGTTGCCCTGAACAATCACCAAAGGAGTTCCTTGGCATGCTGTTATTCCACCCCAAATCATCACGGAACCACCACCAAAGCGATTCCTCTCCAAGACGCAGGCCTGTGCATAACGTTCTCCCACGCGTCTATAGGCACGTTGACGTACATCGCTATTGGAAATGTTAAACCTGGACTCATCTGTAAAAACAACATTTCTCCATCAAAACAAGGGTCTGCGGACATGATTTCGGCACCACATTCGGCGAGCTTGTCGATGACGTTGTGTCAGGATAGGCCGTATGGCGGGACGTCGTGGTCTGATCCCGTGATGACGTAAACGTTGTCGAACTGTGTTGTGGTGGATACGGCGAAGTCCTGGGATGGTTCGGGCAGTCATCACTGCAATCTGAAACCTGAGGCGAAAATGGGTCACCCTTATCCATCTGTCCTGTCTTGGCGTTGTTACACGTGGACGTCCAGAACGTGGCCGATCGATGACGTCATTTGTGTTCTGGTAGCGTCTCACCAGTGCAGAAATGGTGTTCCGGTGGCAGTGGAAATGTGCAGCCACTTGTCGTTGAGACATCCCCCCCCCCCCTCCCCCATGGTCCCTAGTATGGTGATGTCTCTTCTGTTGTGAGCGATCTATAGCCTGTTTTTATATTGTATTGTCCCTATAGTGCTATTAGTTTTAAACTTTCCACGCTAGTTTTAATTCTAATTGTGATATTCTAGTTGTTTTACTGTCCTTCGTCGATAGGTTTTCATATTATACATATATTCCACTTCAAAATCAAATATGTTCTCGTCACGATATGGCTGAAATATTGCCGATGTGGCGTTAAATAATAACTCACTCACTCACTGAGACATTCCCCCCACGGACCATCCCAATGGCCTCATGACGTTGTGCAGACATGAGCCCTGGCATGTTATGCGTTTCAATAGCCGCTTAATTTTTTTAACGATCGCAAGGGCAGGGGTTGAACTTTCCAAAGTGACAGTATTGTGTGGCATTCATTTGCTCTGTTTCTCTTTCCCGGACTGCACGTGCAACAACGTATTGCACGTCTCAAGGACGAACCCACTGACGTCACGGAACGTGGCACGTGCATGCATGTTGGATACATGTCACTAATCTCTGAGTTTAAATCCTTATGTGTCCACACAGGTTTGATAAATTTAGATTTTAAATTTTTGTATGCACAGTTTCTTTATGTGCCTAGTATATATAACGAGACCAGAAAAATATCTAAAAATGAATTTTCTTTGAGAGGCATTTTAGAAGTTGTATAAATAAAGGAAAACCAAGTTCTATGGATAGTCAACTCCTTTATTGCAATGGGTGCGACGTTTCGGTGTAGGTACAAACATCGTTATCAAGCAAGTGATACAAAAGGTTGTAACATGGAGAATATATACATAGCTGCATAGTGTGTATATACAACTGACAAGGTTGATACACATTGGAATGCTAATTAGTGATTTGAGCAGAGTAGGTTCATGTACGAAGTGATAGTGATTAAAACAATATGGAGAATGAGTTGATACAATAGATGAGTTGATGTACACTGAGATGGTAATCGTGAGTTGAGGAGAGTCGGTTGATGTACACTTTAATTGGTTGTGATTACAATACACAGAAAGGAAGCACAGAAGCCAGTTGGACGAGGTATGGGTGGATTACTGGTGATCTTTAGTTAGATGGTGATAGGCTGAGGGGATAAAATAACCTTGATCCCGGTTCATGGTGGGGTTGAAGCGTTGGATTTTTATGGCTTCAAGAAGTTTCCTAATCTTGTAGTCTTGATCGGTTGGTTATTAGGATGTTGTCCCAAAGGATGGCATGGTCAGGGTTGGCTTGGGTGTGGTCGCCTTTGGCGGATTTGGAGTCTTTTTTCTGGACTGAAGTTTTGAAATTAAAAATGTTAAATTAAAAATGAATTTGTTAAGGATAAGATAATAAACAGAATAGACGTGATTACGGAAAATGTGTCACATGTATAGATATCACTCGTGACATCCCACCCCCTAACCTCATGGCAGATTCAACGATTGACACCTGCCATCCCCCAACCCCGACCGCCACCTCAATATATACTGAGTCAAAAAAGAAACTTCACATTCCTTCTTCAGGGCACTATAAAAGAACAAGAGATGGTAAGATGGTTAAATTGTTATTATTTCATTGCTTAGACCTGTGTGATGTGCTCGATACACTGATAGTGCCATAATCAGTTCCATTAGGCTACACCGCCGTTCCAAAACAGGGGTATACAGAATGTCAAGTCACAAGCATTCACCACTGCCAAACACCATCTCCTCATCGACTGCCTGATGCTTGTGAACACGTGGTTGGGGATTCTGCGCCATTGCTCTTGCAAGGCAGCGCCACGTATGACGATTTGAAGTGGTGCCAGTTTGTTGTAGACGACCTCGCAAGTCATACACAGTACGACGGCTGCATCCCATTGGTCTTGCGACGTCAATAACTGATCTTCCGGCTTGCAACAGGCCGACGGCACGTTCACGTTGCACATTTGACAATCGTGGCATTTCAAGTACCGTTAGAACTGTGGTTTAAAAGTGTTTTTTCAATTCTTGAGGCCAGTGCAAACACGTGCATATGAAGAAAACGTCGACGCGAAGATCATTTGATCGACTGCACGTGCAAAACCTTATTTGACAGTAACATCATTTGAACGACGAATGGATGGGTTTGAGTGGGTTTTGCTAACGTTTTTCTAGAGTCGAAAGATAGGGATCCCATTTCGGATACTTAGATGTATCATCAGAAAAAAATTATTCATTATTTTTCAAATTACATTTTGTGAAGTTTCTTTTTTGACTCAGTATAGTTTTCACCTGTCCTTGATCATCGCCAGAGTAAAGCTACATTTATAAACATTGTTACGCTGATGGCAATGTTCACCTGCAATCACAGTTAACTGTACGTCATACTATTCTCCTCAGCGAACACTGAAGACTCGTGGATACCTGACAAATATCATAGAGGTGAGATGGAAAAAAAACGAAATAATCACAGCTGATGATTATTTGTTAAAGGTGCAAAGAAAACAGATGTGTTTTTATTGAGAGTAGGACATGAAAGGAATGTCATGTAATTGCGTCTCTTAGTCGTGAAGTCTCCAGACCTATTTGTTGTTCATCACATTCTAATATATAAATGGCGCAGCCTAGAATGTGCATGTGCTTTCCTACCCAACACATTAAGTGGACATTACACTATACAATTGAAGTATTGTGTGAAAGAGCATTAACTTAAGCCCATAGTTACTTTCCTTTGTAACATCCTTAAATATCACCTGATATGTTATCAGCTGTTCATACAAAGAATGAACAATATCCAAATTTCAACACAGGGTTACATCAAGGGACATGTGTGGACACCCCGCTCCATAAGGCCGTCATTGATGGGAACCTCGATACCGTGAAACAGGTTATGAGTGAGCATACAATAGACGTCAACACCCGAGGTTTGTATCGACTGACACCATTGATGTTGGCTGCAGTGAGAGGGCAGAATGACGTCTTTGAACATCTTCACAAGGAAGAAGCTGATATGACACTAACGGATGGGGATGGTGACCACATTCTTAGCACTGCTTGTATCGGGGGAAATATTGACATTGTAAAATATGTGGTCTCAAAACAACCTGAACTTATAAACAGAAATCGAAACGACGGAAGAACTTCCTTGATGTGGGCAGCATGGCATGGGAGGGAAAATATATTTGGTTATCTGCTGCGTAATGGAGCTGACCATATATCAATGGATAATTATGGGGACAACATCCTTCATTATGCCTCTCATGGAGGACACACTGGAATCGTGGAGAAGATCCTCGCCGAGGCCGAGATTGACATCCACAGTATTGACAGATGGGGACGTACAGCATTGATGGAGGCAGCAGATCAAGGACATAAACAGGTGTTTGACATACTTGTCAGGAAAGGAAGTAGCATATCACACGAAGATAAGGATGGTAACAATGTGCTCCATGTGGCGTGTGGTGGAGGACATGTAGAGATGGTGGAGCATATCCTCTCACGGGTAAAGTTTGACATCAACTGTCGGGGGAAGGATGGGGCAACACCTCTGATGATCGCAGCACGGTGTGGACACAGAGGCGTGTTTGACCTGCTTGTGGGAAAGGGAGCTGATACATCACTACTTGATAACATGGAGAACAACATTCTACACTTGGCTAGCATGGAAGGGCATGAAAGTATGTGATGCATATCCTGTCACAGCATTTTGTGAACATCAACAGCCGAGGGCAACGTGGAAGAACGCCACTGTTATGGGCAGCGTGGCGGAACCAAAATGAAGTGATTCGGTTACTTATGAGTGAAGGTGCTGATCTATTACAAGTGGACGATGGGAGAGAAACAACATCCTTCACATTGCCTGTAAAACAGCAAATGGGAGAATTGCGCAGGATGTTCTGTTAAAGAATGAGCTTGACATCAATGCAGGAAATCATTGTGACGAAACAGCCTCCATGATTGCAAAACGTACACATCAAATGGAACTGTATGAACTGCTCATGTCACAATGAGGTCAAGGACTTGGAAATCCTCACTACCAACACTGACGCGTAGATCCTGAGCGCGAAGCGAGTTTAAGGGAAATGTGGCGATGTGTACGAATATATTTATCAGGTCCACATTATATTGAACGAATTCAATGCGTGCTAGTTGTTGAGGAACCAGTGCGGAGCTTTCTCTACACAATCTCTATATCGCCTCTGTAAAGTAAATTACAAAGTCAAGAGGCAAGTTATAGTTTCCTTGTTCCATAGCAAATGTTGGGGTAAAGGTTGTGCTGGTAGATTAGGTGACCTTTCTGTCCAGGCAATGGTATGGTCGGGCAAGAATGGCAACCTACATAACGTGACTGCGAAGGTATCCTCCCATTTGTCAGACGTGCTATTTGTCAGACAGGTTAAAACAACAAACTACCTGGTTGAGTGCACAGCTAATCCTCTGCCTGTTACCTCTAAATGAAAAAGGAATGGCCCATAAAACAAATAACAGAAATCAGAAATGTTAGAAATCAGGGAAGACTTTTTAATAATAATGACAATAACAATAACAATCATGATCGCATCCAGTACAAGTAAGCAAATCAGTATGAATCAGCCTGATTATATTAGAGTAGAGTTCAATTTTGTCAGCCCAGTTTCAATAGGTGTCCAACAGCATCCAGGAATTGAACAGATGTCTTCTGTCCACGTGTCAGCTACTCTTTCAACCGGAGCAGTCTCCCCTCAGACTCTATGTACAGCCTGGCGTATGTTGTCTGTTGTCGGTTGGGCAGCAGGGCGAAGACAAGTGTGTCCGTCGTATATCCACTGCGGGCATGTACAGTGACAAAGGTTGGGGCAACAGGAAAAGGTACCATCCATGTTGATTGTATCTGATTCGGAAAGACACATCAGCTGCTCATCTGTAGAAAAGATCAGGGTCTTGTATTCTTCTTATTCTTCTTCTCTGAACCGTTTTCGCAAACTGCTAACAAACTGCTAACAAACTGTAGCTTCTTCTCTGAACCGTTTTCGCAAACTGCTAACAAACTGGACTTGATTCGGATCTCTAGGCGGATGGCAGTAGTGCGAGAAATCTTTCAGAAAGTCCCCAACAGTGGAACATTTCCCACGGCATGTCTTGATGATACATCTCCAGTGTGTGGTCTGGCCTCTGGTTCTAATCTTAGAGTAGGTGAAGCCATCAAGAAATACGTGTGGGGTTCCTCTCTGAGACTCAATGAATTCAAATCTGCGTATACCAGCCATTGCAGCGATATCTTACTGACTTTAGAGTTCATATTATATAGTACATGTGTGATTATGCTTATGTTTTGGAGAAGTTTAAGTAATAAAATAATGCAAAATAAGTTCAGTTAAAACCTATTGATTAATCTGTACTGAGCCTCACGCACTTCCTGTATCCAATACAGTTGAACAAAATACTCCAAATTTCGTTACTACAACACATGCAACCCGTCACACTGATGAAAGGCAACTTACAAGCACAATCATAATCTGGTTAATCTGTATCACTTAACGAACTTGAGAGCGGGGAGTAGCCTACTCTGTTCACAGTTTGGAGCAGCCCATTAACTAATGGGTAAGTCCAGGCAGTTACACTGGTCACACTTGACTGGTATGTCTGATAATTGGGCCGTCTGACAAATGGCACGTCTGACAAATGGGAGTATACCACTGCAATTGTCTAGAGTATAGTATCATAGATGACTATATGTGGATTGAACTTATTTTAATACAGAACAGAACTCATGGTTCGATGATTAGCGTCCCATTAGGACAGGAATTTCTGTATTATTACTTTTTTGTCGTTTGCGTATTTTGATTTAGCTGTAATTTAATGAACAACAAGGTCACATGTATTTGTTTGCGTTTCCAGATTTGATGTTTCTTTGTCAGCTCCATACCCGTGCAGTCACAATATGGCTGAAATATTGCCGATGTGACCTTAACTCACTCATTCACTCCATAACCGTCCTAGTGGATTATACCAAAATGAGGTCTTTCCTCCGACATTGAGACTGAGGTGTAGTGGTCAGAGCGTCCGCCCGGAGAGCGGGTTCGATCCCCGGCCGCGTCATAACAAAAGACGATTACACAACGTCATTGAGAAAGTAGTCAAATGTTATATTTGGGATTACGCTTTCTTAGTAAAGTACAGATTCTAAGAAATATAACATATGTTACATTTGACCACTTTCTAAATGGTATTATGTAATCGTAGCTTTCGGCTGTGGGAGCCGTGCCAATTCACACTTATCAGAGGGGTACACAAAGTGCGCAGTGTGGACTACCAGTTGTCCGACTTTCATGTTTATGGAAGTCGCGGTGGCAGACTTTGTGTGTTGGCGATTAGGTGCCTGACTCTGAGGGTGTGGGTTGGAATCCCGGATGGGACTCAACCCAAACAAGTACCAGAATATATACTTTACTAAGAAAGTGTAATCCTAAATATAACAATATGTCATACCAAAAGACGTTAAAATATGGTGCATGATGGTCCCTGCCTGGCGTCGGCATTAATGGGTACAACACGGACTGGTCAGTCTGGGAGTGGGGTAGTACAAGCAGCCACAGCACTATAAAACCAGCTTACACGCGCATGCACGTCATCATATGAGGGAAATATTCTTAAGTACGACGTTAACCCTCATTTCACCACACCTCCGACACTGAACCGACACACTGGAATACTAGTTATATTTGTAACACGTTTGGTAACTTTGTAGTTCGAACCTGTCCTTCGAGATATTTGTTTGTACTCTCTTCACTGACATTTCAACTTGACCTATGTCTACCTGTATATATGACCGTTTGTGACATTTCATTTTCACTATCAAAAACATACGTGCTTAAACAAACACCTGCATACACGTGTCGAGAACATTAGCAATGTTTTCAAGCAATCACAATAACAACGTGCAGGCTTGATTGCACAACTATTCTTATGTTTCAGATTTTCTTAATTCTGTTATATGCAAATATTTCTATACTCGACATGTTCATGTTCTAGTGTACTTCTTCGTATTTATTTGTTATTTCTTTTGCATCTGGTTATTAACATGTTATTTTGGTTGTTGTTAATATGACACTCACCAAACGAGAGGCCTTGTCAATTGTTTTCTTTGTTACACAACTCCTATAGTATATATATTATGTTGTTATTAGGAGCTTGTTTATCACCGCTTGTGTAATATTCGGACGCTGAGTCGCGATCACATCTTTGTAGGTTTGTGAACTCTACAAAGCCAGATGTTTGATTTACTATGTTAAAATATGGAACTATCTTTCAACACCAACAATCAATGTATTATGTTTTAGCTTATCCAATACTTCACTTTTGTTTCACAATCACATTCCATAACACCTTATTTTTCTACATAATTAATCAGTTGTATATTTGGATCTCCATGTATTGTGTTTCTAGGAATATTCGTTCTGTATCAGGCCAATTGCTTCATGTAGATACCTGCCTATTTGTATCTTCTTGGTACATACTTAGGTTGATTAAAACAATACATTGTACTTGTGTTAGGAGTCATTTTTACTTGAGTACTTAAATATATTTTATACCAAACGGTGTTAAAACCTGGTACTTGCTGTTACCCTCTAGGGCAATCGGCATTGAACGGTCTGAAACACGGACTGGTCCGACGTCTTGTCCCATGTCTGTGTGAGGTATCCTTGTGAAACTGTTTCGTCGTTGGCTAGTACTATACTGGCAGTAGTTCTGATCGGACCAATCGGGCACACACATGCGTGTATGTCGTTATATACGTGTAACGGTCTGTCCAATTTCACTTCACACCTTTGTTATTCCAAGAGTGTGGAGCGTGGTGTGTGTGTGTGTGTGTGTGTGTGTGTGTGTGTGTGTGTGTGTGTGTGTGTGTGTGTGTGTGTGTGTGTGTGTGTGTGTGTGTGTCTTTTAGTAGCCTACTGGTTAAAGCGTCACGCCGACTACCCGGATTTAATTCCCCACATGGGTACAATGTGTGAAGCCTATTTCTGGTGTCCTCCGCCGTGACGTTGCTGGAATATTGCTAAAAGCGGCGTAAAGCTGAACTCATTCACATTCCCAGAGCGAGGAAGAGATTTTTTTTCTTTATTATGAGGAACACAACGTTTCGGAGAACATCCTTTCTTCTCATCAGGTGAAAACGTTGTGTTCTTCATAATAATGAAGTTGACATACGTGAAACTTTCTCTTCCTTATGTGTATCACTTCTAAATGCAATTCAAAGACCTGAAGTGGTATGACCGTCACACCGGTTAGAGGCGGTAGACGTTCATCTATACTGTATACTCATCTATACCATTCGCAGATTTTACTTAATCAGACATGTGTCGATTCAGTTTTTTCTGAGAAATATTGTTTTATATATACTGAGTCAAATAAGAAACTTCACATTCTTTCTACAGGGCACTATAAAAGAACAAGAGATGGTAAGATGGTTAAATTGTTATTATTTCATTGCTGAGATCTGTGTGATGTACTCGATACACTGACAGTGCCATAATCAGTTCCATTAGGCTACACCACCGTTCAAAAACAGGGGTATACAGAATGTCAAGTCACAAGAATAAAAATGCGAAATTTCTCAGTTCAATATCGTGTATGGCCGCCCCGCGCATTCACCACTGCCAAACACCGTCTCCTCATCGACTGCCTGATGCTTGTGAACACGTGGTTGGGGATTCTGCGCCATTGCTCTTGCAAGACAGCGCCAAGTTCCTGCAAATTCTGAGGTTGGTTCCTAAGACCACGAAGCCTTCTCCCAAGTGCATCCCAAACGTGCTCTATTGGATTAAGGTCAGGGGACCTCGATGGCCAGTCCATGACGTTGATTCCAGCGTTTTGAAGGGAATTTCGTGCCAACATCGCGGTATGCGGCCGAGCATTATCATGCTGGAACTGTAGACCTGGACCATGAGCCGCAATGAAAGGAACGATTTCAGGGGTGAGCACCTGGTCGCGGTAAGCAGCAGCTGTGAGGTTTCCACGGATGACCAGAAGTCTGGAACGGTTGTTCCCACAGAAAGCACCCCACACCATGCAACTTCCGAATCTGTCGACTTCCTGTACACAACAATGGGCATACCGTTCACGACGTCGTCTCCAGACTCTATGCCTTCCGCCCGCGAATCTGAGGGTAAACCTAGATTCATCGCTAAAGACGACTTGATTCTCGTCTCTCTGGGTCCATCAGAGGTGACGTTGGGCCCACAGCAGACGTTGACGTTGATGAAACGGTGTCAATATTGGCCCACGATATGGAAAAATATGTACCAAAATGTTAAAGCTTGTGTGTCGATGAGAGATGGTTACACACCGTTTTTTGATTGTTTATCAGGAGTTCGTCAGGGATGCCAGTTATCTCCCTTTCTTTTTTCCTTCTTTGTCAACGATATTGTTGATTGTCTATCTGCTGATGGTCAGAGGGGTATCAATCTAGACTTAGTTGAGCTGTTCATCCTATTGTTTGCTGATGATATTGCGCTTTTTGACTTTACAGTTATAGGTCTGCAAAAGAGGCTAGACAAGCTAGTTTCGTATTGTAACAAGTGGAAATTGAAAATAAATCTTGATAAAAGTAAAGTTATGGTATTCAGGAAGGCTGGTCGACTAAGACATTATGAAAAGTTCCATTTGAATGGACAGTTGCTTGAAATTGTCGCATCATATAAATACTTGGGTGTTCACTTCTCTTCCTCTGGATCATGGTATATTACACAGAAAACTTTGGCTGACCAAGCATGGAAGGTGTTGAATATTTTCAAATCATCGGTTAAGAATTTTTATAATCTACCAGTTAATGTTTTGCTCCACATATTTGATGTCAAGATTCTGCCATTGTTACTATACGGAAGTGAAGCCTGGGGTTTCCACCCGTCGCCATCTGTATTGAATGTACACGATAGGTTCTGTGAACAGGTTTTGGGTCTCTCAAGATACACGCCAAATATTGCAGCGCGTGCTGAGATTGGTCGTCATTCATTAAAGGTAAATCAGTACATTAAGATTGTTAAATATTGGGTTCGCCTCCTGTCTCAAGTTGAGAATGTAATCTTTAATAAGGTATATGAGTATCAGTATTGTCTTGCTGAAAAAGGTATAGATTGTTGGGCTTTTAAGGTGAAATCTCTTTTGTACAGTTATGGTTTTGGCAATGTGTGGGCCAGTCAAAGTGTTGGAAATATCTCTACCTTCATATCATTATTTGAGCAAAGATGTATTGATATAGATAACCAGTTGTGGTCATCTCGTATTATACTTGTCTCGAAATTGGATTTTTATCGCAGGCTCAAAGAAGGTATAGCTTTCGAGTTCTATATCGATAGTGTTAGTGTAAAACAGTTTCGAATCTTCTTAAGTAGATTTCGTTGCTCAAACCACAATTTGATGATAGAGTACGGTAGACATTTAGGTCTTAAAAGGGAGGATCGCCTGTGCCCGCTTTGTATCATACCTAACATAGAAAATGAATATCACTTTTGCCTGGAATGCCCTTTTTATGGGAAATTAAGAAATGATATCCTCCCTAAATATTATCACACAAGTATATCCATCTGAAGTGAAATTAGCCCAGTTGTTTAAATCAAAGAATACCTATACTATAAATTGTCTTGCTAAATATCTATTTGTTGCCATGAAAAAAAGAAATAAATTTCTTTCAGCCTTCGTACCCACAAATGTATAATTGTGCAGCTCTCATGATGTTGTACGGTGCTCTAATAATTGTATATTCTGTACACCTGATGTATAATGGGCCTGTGGCCCCTTTACTGAATAAAACTCTCTCTCTCAATATAGACGTTGTGAATAGAATTGGCAGCCCGAAACCGATTTCGAATGTTCTGTGAGGACAGTCGACCTCTAAACATCTCAGCCCTGGTTTGTGTAGCCGGCAGAAATCTGTCACGTAGGTGACGTAGGACGATTTGACGGTCTTCTGCTCGTGACGTCACACGTGGACGACCCGACCTTGGGCGATCAGAAGTGGTGCCAGTTTCGCAAGTCATACACAGTACGACGGCTGCATCCCATTGCTCCTGCGACGTCAATAACTGATCTTCCCGCTTGCAACAGGCCAATGGCACGTTCACGTTGCACATTTGACAATCGTGGCATTTCAAGTACCGTTAGAACTGTGGTTTAAAAGGTTTTTTTCAATTCTTGAGGCCAATGCAAATACGTGCATATGAAGAAAACTTAGATGCGAAGATCACGTGATCGACTGCACGTGCAAAACCTGATTTGGCAGTAACATCATTTGCATGACGAAAGGATGAGTTTGAGGGGGTTTTGCTTACGTTTTTCTAGAGTCGAAAGATAGGGATCCCATTTCGGATACATAGATGTATCATCAGAAAGACACTTAATTATTATTTTTCAAATAACATTTTGTGAAGTTTCTTTTTTGACTCAGTATATATATATATATGTATATATAAGAGGTAATATAGAGTAAGATCAACTGTAGCTACCTTCTCACCTTTTCATGTGCATTCGAATCTGCCTACCATATATAAACTATAACGCGTTTTATTTCTTCATCCATTATTTACATCACCAAACAAATGTCGTGCTGCTGTATTATACCACTGTGCTTCCAGAGAACCTGAGTCGTTGTCACGTTAGGTATAATGATGTGCACTTACAGTTTTAATTGTAAGGAATTTGACATGATAAAGTGTACAGTCTTAAACTCATATCTTTCACGTCTTTACAACAAGACCCATGGGCAACACCTACGGGTTTGGTATACTAACCGAACTATGTATAAACAGCTCATGTCCATCGATGTGTTTATTCATTGTCAAACATTCAGGCGTTGGCGACGCTGTTTAAGTTGAGTATACATAGCTTGGAATCTTGTGAACACCTGCCTGCTGAACAACATATATTACATTATAACGTCATTGTGGAAGCAGGTTGGATAATAATGTAAGGCTGTAAATAACCCGTGGTCTTTTGCTTACAGGATTTAAACTATACAACTGAAACACAAACGACATTTCCAAGCGCAGGGTTGGGATAGTAGCTACACATGACGACTGACCTATTTTATCAGCATACGCCATTTTGTTTATTCGTATGTCATTCTGCACAGGTCATACTTTTCTTCGGGAAAATCAATCGACATTTTGATCACTATACAGTACAATAGAATTGTCGCCTCAAAGGTTGTTTATACATGTGGTTGTTCAGAGCACGAATGTACGAAAGCCTAATGCTGCCACTTTTGTAGCACAAATATTTTTTTCTGCTACAATTCTTGTTGCTTCGATTATGTACTCGTTACTTCAAGTTTCTCTCAAAAACTTGCTTGACAACGGTACAAGAATCTGTATCGAAACGTCGCACTCACGAAATAAAGAAGTTGTTATCCATAAAACTTGTTCTATATTGTACGTCTCAACTTCTAAAATTCCACTCAAACAAGTTATTTACTCGTTGCTTCGAGTATTTTCTCGTTAATTCAATTATTTTCTTGTTGCTTCGATTAATTTCTCGTTGCTTCGAATATTTTCTCGTTGCTTCAAGTTTCTCTCAAAAACTTGAAATTTCGAGTATTTACTCGTTACTTCAATTATTTCTTTGTTGCTTCTCGTTGGGAGTACCTAAAGCTCGGGCCAAGAAAACTCGGGCCGGGTCGGGCCACCGGGTACTACTAAAAGTGGATTGCAGAAAATTAAAACACTTCCTGTCATCACAAATGTATGGTTTGATTGAAAATGTATGTTTAACGATGAAATAAAAAGAAAACTATGACTACATACTGAGAGTCACGTAGAAAAGACACCGTCTTGTTGTTATGTGTTTTCCTTGATATGTCTATGTGAGAAGGTTACTTACTTCTCTTAGCGTGTGACGCCCTGGGCAGGTAGGGACAGTGTTTTGACTTCATTTCTTTACTTAATTAAAATATTGAAGTTCCCTAATTAACCTTTATTACCTCATGCTGAATCAACACAGGCCGTTTATGTTAATGCGAAGCGGATATTGGCTAATGTCAGCGGGTAAATGTGACATGTTTAAATACAGGTTAAAGCTCTTACAGCTATGTTAATTTTCTAGAGTTCCTGCATAGTGTTTGAAGCAAACACGTTGCGTAAAGTGATGCCCTCTTTTCTATATCCTCAAAATAGTTGCTATATTATATGTGTTCCGTCTTGGCCGGGGTCCCAAAAGCACCTTAAACCTAACACATGTATCCAGCATTGTATTTATATCTATAGAATGGTATTGCATCTGCCTAAATATCAATTTGTATTGTTACAAAATGCCACATGTAATGATGATTGGTCCGTTAAAATGAAGCCCTATTCCCTCTCCATTCCCAACAGAGTCAATCAAAAGTGGCTAGTCTCTGAAATACTCCCATTTGCCCTTGCGAGATGTTGATTTGTTCTTAAAACCATATCTTCTTCTTTCCTGTCCCAACTGACAGCTACCTTATTTGCCACCACTAAGCAGTCGGTGAAGGTAAGATACTTGCAACACAGAAGGTAGTAACATTCTCAAAATGTGTTGCATCAGTGACAAATGGTAGACGTTGCACTTCCCTATTTAGACTTGTACCATACGTTCCCTAATCGTTCCTAGGTGAACAATTCCCTAGGATGTCCATATAGTGGGACAGGATACCCACACCTTTTCGAGAACACCTGGTATCTAGTGATTCATAAACATATACTCTGTCATTATGTCCACCAATGGATTGTCTGGTCTAGACTCGATATTTACAAATGCTCATAATATAGTCCGAACGTTTACTATCGACTCTGCTTTTCTAAGAAATTTCTTATGGATATGGAAGGGGCTTTGTCGCTATTATTTCATGTGGTTCGTTTGCGTGGGCAATGTCTTTTCTTTCTTTACTTTTAAAAACTGACGCAACGGACGAACTGGGTGCATCCATACTACAAATATATGTTGACAACCATATCGGAGTGTGAATGATACATAGTATTATGATTCGTACGTGAAAGGGGTTAAAAAAAAACACAACACAACAATACTACCTATATTGGGCAGGTTGTTCGCCTGTGTTTCTGGCATACTTTTTAAATGGTAACATTCGATGGGTATCAGTTTGATATTTGCCATGGAACGCTACAGACCAAACAAATATGAGAACAGGGATTCATATGACTTGTGACATGTTGAGAATGAGGCTAAGGGCCCCGCTTGAGCAACGCGATCGTTCAAATTACTTCAATCTGAGACTTCATAAAGAGGTTTTAGGTAGATATACTACTAACTAGATATATGTACAATTCAGGATCCATGTGTGATGTTTAAGTTTCTTATTATGGCCCGGGACAAGTCAAAGACTTAACACTTTTGATAGAGGTTGGATATGTTTGGAATGGAGGGGGAAACGGACTTCACTTTAACGGACCAGTTATCTTTACATGTGGCATTTTGTAACATTGAAAATGATATTAAGGTAGATATAATACTGATCTGTGGATCTAAACAAAATTCAAGACATATGTGTGTGAGATCTATGCTGCTTTTGACGGCCCGAGCCAAACAAAACCGAACAATTGTCAAAGTGTGGGGAAAAGATCGTATCATGTACCTGTGGGCATGCTTTAAATACGATGAACACTGAACTCAGGTAGTATTTGTAAAATCCTTTCCGGGCCGACAGAAATGTATATAGGGATTGACTGAAGTATTTATACGTTTTGAATCCTGTTTCATTTAATGACTTCTCTTTTAGACGTAACCTTGCTTAGTCACTTTCACAGGCCACTCGTCTTCCTGAGTTTTAAGCGATTTACTCGTAATAAGGTTATTATGACACACGCGTGTGCCCATATTGGCATGGGTGTAAGCTGGATTAATTAATTGTAGACATGGTTTTCGATAATCAGTGTTGTAGCCAATTATATACTTGGCCCTCCTTGACCCGGCTGGGCCAGGCCCGAGTTTTAGGACGTCCCCTTCTCGTTGTTTCGAGTATTTTTCTCGTTCCTTCCTTACTCGAAATTTCAAGTTTTTGACAGAAACTTGAAGTAACGAGAAAATATTTGAAATTTCAAGTTTTTGATAGAAACTTGAAGTAACGAGAAATTAATCGAAGGAACGAAAAAATAATTGAAATAACGAGAAAATATTCGAAGCAACGAGTAAATATTCGAAATTTCAAGTTTTTGAGAGAAACTTGAAGCAACGAGAAAATATTCGAAGCAACGAGAAATTAATCGAAGCAACGAAAAAAGAAATTTCAAGTTTTTGACAGAAACTTGAAGTTACGAGAAAAGAACTCGAAGTAACGAGAAACTTATCGAAGTAACGAGAAAATACTCGGAGTAACGAGAAAAATATTCGAAGCAACGAGAATAGTAGCAGAAAAAAAATATTTATGCTACAAAAGTGGCAGCATTAAGCTTTCGTACGAATGGTCTATACAGAAATATTATGTTCCCTTTCAACATAACGAGACTCTTGTCACTCTTTTCATCACGTCATTTACGGCATTTAATCTTTTCATGTCATTTCTGCCACATTGTTGCGTTTTAGAACTGGATTATAAAAGAGCTTACAGTAGCAGTGATAGCTTTTCTACAAGATCAGTGAGTTCACGTAAGGGAGGCCGTGAGAGGTACCTGCCTTGTCTGACCCACCGAGATACACCCTATACAGCTATGTCATATAACAACTCTAGGAGATGAATTCAATCTACTTGTAAAGCAGGGATCGCTATTGTATGCCACACAAAAACTCTCTGTTACAAGAGCAAACAGTTAACATGCAGTTGCCAAAATAATACGAGGAGCCATGCTGTGAATGACCATAGATAGGTTTAGAATCCGATTAATCAGAACAACAAAGGTATCAGCTAATATGTGTAATGAGTTCATCAGTTATTTCTTTCTGTAGGGTGTACAGGGTCATGACTGTATCAGCCGGTGGATTCACGTGTTAAGGTTATAAGAGAGCAATCAGCCCGTACGATATCTGACGCCATGTCAGATCACACACACACAGTCAACACAAGTTTACCATGAGGACCCTGATGTGGTGTGAAACAGCTTGGTTTGTTTGTGTGTTGCTTAACGACGCCTCCAGCTACATGGTGTCGGTCTGTAAATAATCAATCCAATGATCAGCATCATGAGCATCGAAGTGTGCTGTAGGGATACGATGACATGTGTGGACCAACTCAGCGAGCCTGACCACCCGATCCTGTTAGTCGCCTCTTAAGACAAACACGGGTCGCTTATAAGTCAGTGCTAATCCGGATCCTCACGAGTTGAAACAGTTTGGGATAGCTGTAAATGCTGGGCCGTAACTAGGAATACACAGGAGGAAACACCCGACTCGGCATCCTTTGCGCACTGCTCGATATATTGATGAGAGTGTTTAAACAACGTCTCTCATACACAGCGTGGAATATTTCCGGTTGTGAGCGCTGTTTCAGGACGGGTTTTTCTATGTCAAAACGAAGCCTCCTGCCTGCCACATACCCTCATCAATTTAGGCACCTAAAATATTTCCTTTATCTATGTTGACTAATCACAGAACATTCTTTTGGAGTTCAACTTAAGATCACCATCAACTCATCGAAAATGAATTTACACTAATGAACTGTGATGTAGCCATGCCAGATGTAATCCTGCTTGATCTATGCATGTATTAAACAGTAACATGGAAGTAGAACGGTCATCACGTGAAGTCACAGCACTGTGTGTTTCTATTTGTATGCATGTGTGTATGCACGTGTGTACCACCCCGTTCTATAAATAGCTCACGTCCGTAGATTTGTTTACGCACTCCCATACATTCAGGTTTTAGTATCACTGGAAAGCAGGTTGGGTGTGAATGTGAGGCGGTACATGACTTGTGATCCTTTGCTTATAGGATTTAATCTGCACAACTGAAACACAAAAGACACTTCCAAACACATAGTGGTGACAGCTGGTAACACCAGCAATGTGAAATAACTACACGTGAAAATTGACCTATGTTATCAACAAACGTTATTCGTGTGTCATTCTGCACAGCTCATGTATATTTCTCTTGAAAACAAATCGGCATTGTATCACTATACCGTACAATGGAATTGTCGCCTCTTTATCACATCATTCACTGCAATAGAATTTGGTCTTTTCATGTCATTTCTCTCGCACTGCTACAATAACGTGTTTTAGAACTGGATTGTAAAAGAGCTTACAGTAGCAGTGACAGCTTTTCTACAAGATCAGTGAGTTCACGTAAGGGAGGCCGTGAGAGGTACCTGCCTCGTCTGTCCCACCGAGATATACCCTATACAGCTGTGGCCTATAACAACTCTAGGGGATGAATAATTTTACCTGTAAAACGGGGATATCGCTTGTATGTCACAACAAACATTTTTACAAGTGCAACTGACAACGTGTGGTTGCCAAAATACGAAGAGCCGTGTTGTGAATGTCCATAGAATTTATAATCCGATTAATCAGAACAACAAAGGTATCGAATACTATGTGTAATGAGTCCATATGTTTTTCTTTCTAAGGGATGTACAGGTGCACAAACGCAGGCAACACAATATTACCGTGAGGACCGTGAAGTTGAGTAAAAAATCTTTTGGTTATTTGTTCGTTTTGTTATAGCTACACCCAGCAATATTCCAGCTGTATGGCGGTGGTCTGTAAATAATCTAGTCTCGACCAGACAATCCAGTGATCAACATCAAGGGCATTGATCTACGCATTTGCGGTACTTGTGTCGACCAAGTCAGCAACAACTCGATCCCGTTAGTCGCCTCTTACGACAATCATGACCAATTCTAACCCGGATACATACGGTTCGAAAGAGATTGAGACAGCTGTAAATGCGGGGTCGTAACTTAGACTAGGCCCACGCAGGAGGAAACACCCGACTCAGCAGCCTTTGCGCACTGCTCGATATATTGATGAGAGTGTTGTAACACTGCTGGTCGTCTCTCGTACACAGCGTGGAATATTTCCGGTTGTGAGCGCTGTTTCAAGAC